TCAGTGGTTAAGCAACTTTTGGGCCGGAAAGACGTCAACCCCGACACTCCAGACAACAAGGGCTGGACACCCCTCTCCTTGCTGCATATGCCGGGCACGAGTCAGTGGTCAAGCAACTTTTAGCCCGGAAAGACGTCATCCCCGACACTCCAGACAGCGAGGGCAGGACACCCCTCTCCTGGGCTGCATATGGAGGTCACGAGTCAGTGGTTAAGCAGCTTTTGGATCGGAAAGATGTTAACCACGACAACCCAGACAACAAGGGCCGGACACCCCTCTCTTGGGCTAGAATTAAAAGGCATGAGTCAGTAGTAAAGCTACTTTTAGATCGGGAAGATATCAACCCCCACACGCCAGACCACGAGAGCAATACACTCCCCTCGGAGGATGCAATCGGAAGGCACGAGCCGGTGCTGAACCCTTTGGTCAGGGAGACGCTACCCGCGGCTGGCCAAGCAACACGGGCAGGACACCGTTTGTGTGGGCTACGATTGAAGGGCAAGGGTCAATGGCTAAGCAAATTCCGGGCCGGCAAAACGGCAGCCCCGAAGAACCAGGCCGCAAGAGCAAGATTCCACTTTTGTGGGCTGCTGGGTGGGGGCGCGAAGTAGTCGTGAATCTGCCTTAGGGCGGTCAGATGTCAACCCCGAAATATAAGATGAAAATCGCCACATCGCACTCCTTTATGCCTCTCACGAGGGATCTGAAGGAGCAATGAGCATACTGCGAGCCTGTAAACCTGCGGCCCCAATCTGGTTTGCATGCAACGAGTTACGGGGTTTACCTTTGTATCCTCACTCCCTCCTCTGCTTCTTTCCCGGACCACTATGGCCCGTTGTCCAGTCCTACCACAATCTCCTTCTTGACTTGACATTCATTCCCTTCCTTGTCTGTCCCTATTTCCGGTCTTGAGAATCCTGTAGAGGTTCAATCTTTCGTCTCACTGGAACCCACCGCACAGGTACTATTACCGGCAACCTCTCACAGACTCAATACTGTGGCTAAGCAAAGACTTATTAGGTGCCCCTCTGGGTGTTTTTCGTATAGAACTGGGGGTATTATCCCATTTTCTTTTGAAACCTGTATATTTTATTGTATTTACCTTGATGTACTGTGCCGCTTTTCCATCATAGACCCTCTCTTTCCTCCACCTATATCACACATTTTTTCACCATCTACCTCCTAAACCTTCTCCGGCCCCTTGCTCCCCTCGCATGGGCGATACGGTAGATAGATACTGCGATTTGTACTATACTGTATAGGTGGTCAACCTAGTACTGTGGAGGCAAAAGATGTGGAACTTTTTTTCTGTCTACCTGGAAATGCCCTGGGTGTTGTATCCTGTACCTGTTTGTTTTGTTGAGGGCTTTGTAGGGCATTCAGGGTTCTTGTGACTGGTCTTTGGAAGAAAAGGGGAGTGAAAGTGTTAGTGAAAAGACCTGTACGAACCTGATCCTGTGCCTTCTTTGCGAGATTCCTACGAAACGAAAAAGTGCGAGTTGAGTGCGTCAACCAACAAACATCGAGATACGAACAGTGAAGGCTTTTCCTGTGATTTGAGCGAAACAAGAAGATTACAGTATTTAGAACTGGAGAGATTGTGAGTCGAGAACAGCCAAAGGATCGTGCTGTTATTCCGTTTCTCCATCTATTTAGGTATCTGTTCTCCTTTATGGGTGTTACAAGAAGAGCTTCTTGGTTTCTTTTTGCTATCTGAATTCAGGTAGTATTTCTCCTTTTCGGTGCTCGGGTCATTACTCGTCACTTCAGCCCGCATCCACCCCCAAGCCCACCGTTTCCGAAGATTTTCCAGTCAACATTTCAAGCCCTTTTCCTGCACTAGTCAACCCTATCCCCTTGATATACCTCTGCATATATGACCCAACCCCCATACAGCCGCGGCAAGCCAAGGAAGCGGAGGGGCGGATGGATACAGGTATGATAGCACACTCTTCCACTATCTCTGCGGTGCGGCAGTGGGGGGTATTCCAGAGTGGTGGCGATTCCAACCGGTCATCGCAACCACCGGCATGTCCCCGGAAGAAAGCCCGTAAAGTGAGACCCACGAAAGCAAGAAATGCCAAATTAATTCAGTGTAGCAGCCCGATTCCGCGGTTCTCGGCATTCTTCAGTGTGCCAACATATAATTTGACGCGCTATACCGAACACCCGTTGAGGGAGTTGCAAAATTGCCCATTCTTCCACTATTCTTTGGAATCACAATTTTCTGGCACCCACCCCTCGTATACAGCTCAAGCTGCCCTTTTTTCCTTCTCCTCAGATTCCCCGGTTCCCGATCGCAGGGTAGGATGGTCCGTATATTAGAAGCCCTACTTTCTCTAGGGTTTTCTTTTTTTTCTTCCACAGGGCTATAAACCTATTGGAGGGTGGAAAAGCCCACGCAGCCCGTGGGCCAACCCAAAGCCCGTGGGCTTTTGAAAACTAAGGCCCGTACAGGCCCAGCCCACGGCAAGCACTGGGAACAGCAGCTTATTGAGACCGGGTTTATCGTCCTAGGAGAGACCGAAAATTTAGTGGAGATCCCGAATGGAATACTCGGTGCAGCAAAAAAAAACGAAGGGAAGCATTATCATTAAGTTGGCCTACCGTGCCACCGGTGTTCCCACGCGAAAAAATCTCGTAGTTTAACTTAACATCTGGCATCAGATCAGGAACCGGGTTGGAAGGGGAAGGAGATTAGTCAAAATCCACCAAGGAATAAAGAACTTAAGGAAACGGGAATGGCTAAATCTCGGTCACCGCCCAGCAGCGGAGAGAAATGGGTTAGGAGGGTGGTTGAGGTGGTTCACTTCTATGCCTAGCCAACTTCCCGACCCGGCATGCAATGATCCCCTAGACCCCCCAGCAACTTACTATCCATCTATAATAATAATTATGATATCTTACTCAAAAATTATTTCTATTGGGGTTAGGGTTTCCTTTCCTCGGTCTTGCTCGCCGCTTGAGCTTCAAACCGGCATGGGGCATCTGGTGTTGGGAAAATGGCTTCAATGTGACGGAAGTGTATCTGGTCAGGCCAGGTAGCAACTAGCCTAAACAGCACCGTAAATAGATAGCTCCCAGAAGTATAAGTACTATTGTCTGGTGCCCGAGTAGAATAGCAATCAATCATCGGATTCATCTTCTCAAGCATATACTCTTCTCATACTCTGTGATCTTCCAAGCTCCTACCCAAATCGCTGACATCGCACACGATATTTCCAACATCTGGTGTCTCTCTATGTCTCGAGTGATCAACAATGATTCCTTATACAAGCAACGGAAAGCCCATAACGAAGAGTATCGAGCGGATAGCTCAAAAATAACTAGCTAATCCTAATTATACAATTCTTCGATAGCTACGGATGCCCCTTGAAAACCCCCAATGCACATCGCTAATACCCGTTGCTCACAATCTGACGCTACAATTGCGCGTGTCTTACGTATATACCATCCCCACCGCTATCAGCATTCTACTATCCCCACCTTCCCTCTCACTCGATATCCCCCCAGATTCGGAAATCTCTTGCAAAGCTATCTCACAATGTTCCATTTATACCTGCCCATCCTTCAACCCCCCCTCACCGTGCTCCTCCTCTTCACTCTCTCCAGCTTCTTCCTACACCTCCTCATCCTCCTAGGATCGACATCCAATACCCCATTTCTAGGCTCCCTCTACTTTATCCGCTTCTATGACACATGGCGGGCGAAGGACTGCACGCACACACCCGGTTTGAGTAATTTTTTCCAAGTTGGGCTGTGGAATTACTGTGAAGGTTCCGCCGGCGGGGTCTTCAGGTGTGAGCACCCGAAGGAATTTTGGTGGTTTGATCCGGTGGAAGAGATGGTTGAGAGGTTGTTTAGCGGAGCCGGTGGTTAGTTCTCGTCCGAAGCCCTGACAGAGGATATATGTTGACGGAGGAGAGTGGGGGGGGGTTATTATAGTTCCAATTTCAGACACCGTCTCCCGCACAGCCCACAAAGCAAGGAGGGCTGGTTATTGTGTATTCATATTCTACTTCCTATCACTAATATTTAGCATTGCTACTCTTATGCTTGGTACAGTACCTTGCTGTCTCCTCCACCCCTCCACAAGCTAACCAAATGCCAGACGTGATTCCCTCCCATCGCCGCTGGAGCCCTATACTCTCCATCTTCACATCCTCCTTCTCGGCTTTCTTTAGTGCTATAGGGGCAGTAATCTCCACGGCGCTCTACTGCCTCTACAGAAACTTCTTAGAAGACCTCCAGGAAATTCATATCCAAGGAGCCCTCGGCAGAAATATGTTCGTCGTTATGTGGGCTGCCACCATCATTTCAGCCTCAAGCTCGATGATGAGGATTATGTGTGGGTGTTGGAATCCAGAGCGGATCAGGGATGGGAGGGGAGGCGGGCGGTTGAAGCTTGTTAGAAGGTTACATGCGCCGAGGACGGACCCAGCTTGAGCGGAGTAGCCGGTAAGGATTGGCGAGTTTTGTTTCCAGCGTAACTTTATAGGATAATTTTCGCGCGGTTGGTGCTAATATCGGGTTGTCGGTTTGGGGCTTTTCTCTCGTTTTCTGCGATGCATCGTTTCTAGCTAGAGAGGAGGGGGTCAAAATGGCATATAGTGGTTTGTAAATATGATAATGGAACGCCAATTGGTATCCGTCTTGGCCCCGAAACCGCCACTAAAATCGACGACTACTGCGACCTAGACCCGCCAAATAGCCCCTCAGGCAGCATCACTGTGGACCAACTTTTCCCGCTAAAGGCACTCGAATTTATCAACGCAGGCTCGTCAATCAGTCTATAAAAGTAGCCTCCCCCTAGGGCAGAGAAAGGGTAGCAGAAAATTTGTGCCATTAGAATCGTGAGTGCTAAGTCAGGAGAAGGAACGTAGATGCATTGTCTATAGGGAGGAAAGAAACAGATACGAAATCCCCAGGATTTAAGGGACGTGAATCACAGCCCCCAATATCCGCCCACATGCAAATAAACCGGCAAGCATCGGAACCTAGGCATAGTCCAACCTGCACCCACACCGCCAACTAACACTCAATAGTGCAGACTTACTAATGGAGTGCCTTACCAGTGAATCCGAGCAATACCCATCACTCATTCTACTAAATCATAGGTATAATAACTAGCGCTCAGGGTGGTTCCGCCATATCTGATTCTCAGACCTATTAAGAGTTCACCGACCTCACTACAATAAATTACTTAGTCTCTTCACTCAAAGTCAATGATGCAGCATTAATTCCTACCCCTAACCCCCCAGAAACCCCCGGGAGAGCACTGCACAGCTGCCACACACCGGGCGCATCATAAAGTGGATTTGAGATACTCCTTTCTCATCTAATTTGAAGGTCTTTTTCCAATGGATCCCAATGCCATATGGCCAGGAACCAAAAAAGGGAACAAGTTCAAGTGATAGTCCAGTACCCTTTTTAAGCAATTTTTTTATGATGTATAAGCCAAGTACTGGTAGAGCTTAATGCCTGAATCCTAAAAACCCGTGTCCTCCCTAGCCGAGGGCAACCGGTCACCCTTCTCCCCGTTCCCCAACCTGGGGCAAAGTGCCTGGGGAAATATTAAGCCGTATATCACGCTCCCCTAGGTATACTGTATCAGCCAGAAACTGGACCGGTCGAGGGTTGGCGATTCCGTCAACACCTTACCGTTGACCCAACAGGTAATAGAAGATAGTCTTCAAGCTACCCCCTCAGAGAGGAAATTGGGAGTGAAGACATGGGTAGCGAAAGATAGCTAAGGATTCGAGTGGAAGGGGTCAGACGTTTGAATAGTCTATAGCACAATAGTAGACTTGTTTCAACGAGTGCCGCTGGAGCAGTAAGTAAGTATCAACTCAACTACAAGGGGGTAAATAATAGCAATAGTATACTAGATTTCCCAAGTGATTTGTGCCCATCCGCGCACCCTATAATACGCATAAAATAGACTTCCCCCTCCTGAAAATAGATCCTCTCACATCTAAAAACGTGGAAATGAAACAGTCAAGAAAACAGATGTGAACCTGAAACCCGGCGGATGAATTTGCTTCGAGAGCAAAGGGAAGGATGGCAGTTGCCCTGGGCGCGGACTGGAGGCGGAGACCTTAGGCAGTGTGCCCGGGGAGTGTCGCCTTCGGCTATCGCGGAGGGAGGTAATCCCAACAGTACAATATTTCGTGCCAGGCAGAGACGTTCAAAGGCTTCAGAGGATGGGAGCAAATCAAGAGAGGTTTCTGCAGGTTTTCTTTCGGTTAATGGTTTAAATCTCCCCACTGGAGGGGATTCCAATTCAGGGAGTGTCACAGATGCTTTCTTGATATTATGGGGGGGCATTGGGTGTCTACTATTGTTAGCCCTCTTTCGGAGTCTGAGGTGATTTTCTTTTCATTTCATTTGCCGGTTATTCAGCTGTTTGGAGATTCCTTATGCGAAAATTAGGGGTTTTTTTTAGTAGAGAAATAGTACCCCTAAACTGTCGAAGGATCTAGTAGCAAAAAAAACCAAAAACTAAAAATTAAAAGTGCCATGCACAGTTATGTGTTTCCTGTTGAAGTGATGAGTGATAGTGTGTCGTGGTTGGTCATGGAAGGGATGGGAAGTGGAAGAACAAGGTTGTCTACAGAAGTAGCAGGAGTGTTTTCAGGGTTTAGTAGTATGATAGATTTGTTTGAAGGCTGAAAGCAGATTTTACAGATATGTCTTTCCTTTGTTATTACGGATGTGGACAGAGGAGTTTGGAAATGGAGGGAATGTTAGAGATGGGTGTACCGGTAGTGGTTTATGGAGAGGCCAGATTGCTTTGATGATGTTTTCCTTATACACCTGTCAGCACCTATTAGAGAAGGGGATAGAGACGAAGAACACACCATTCTTAGCGATCCCACCACAGATATTCTCTTTACTGTTCCGTTCTATTAGCACTGCGCATTCTGATAGCGACCACCATCAGAACATTTCCCCTGTTGGCCGGGGATGGCCCACCCGGGGTTCTTTTTGGCTGTACCTAAGGCATATGCTATAAATTCTCGGTTAGTTGCATATATCGCAGTGACAAGCAAATCCGAGGATACAGCAAAAAAAAACGGGGGTGTCTCACCCACTAAATTCTTTTTTTTTGGATGATAAATTTAATCTACAGAACTTTGGCTACGGGAAACAACAGAACCTCCTCTATAATAAACTCCGAGTATAAGATCTTTGGAAAGGATTACGGCAGCCTGGGCAGAGTTTATTCTCACGATAATCGGAGATCTGTAGGAAGAAAAGGATCGAGATGGACATAGTAACGAGACTCTACGACGGGAGTGTCCACGATTGGAACTACATCGGGGCTAGGAATCACTAGCACTCGCCCCGTCGCCTAGGGACGCAGAATCACGGAAGAGACTCCCCAAGCTTCGAGGGGGCGCCCTAGGCAAACATCCACCCGCCACCAACGCTCTCAGCTATCCAGCCCTCCCAGTTCTTTTTGAAGAAGGCAAGTGACTCCAGTAAGCCCCCTTCATCTCCAATAATGTAGACAGAGTTTGTGTAAGAAATGAGGTGTCAAACATTTCCCCCGGTGAATCCGCGCGCCCTGACATCGGAGGCGTAGCACCCAATTTAGGTATGCAGAACATGAAATTTCTGTGATATATGACTAGGAGTGGGATTCTAGACCGTGGGTCCAACAGACTTGCATGACGGAAGGACCCAGAACTTTAGTTAACCCAACCTCCAGTATACCTCCTACAAAACCATCTCCGGCGACCTTCCGGCAGTTGTACAGATATTCGCAATGCGGTTTACCAGTTTCCCTCTCTAATAACCATGTCCGACTTGCGCGGCTACTAGTACCTGCGCGGCTACGAGCACTTTGTCCAGGCAGATTCTATGTCTGAGGCTGAGACTGTCTAAAATATTGAATGCCAGTACAGAACGCGACTACAGAGTGCAAGTGGGGGGCACAAATGCTTATCCCTTCGTCTCTGTACCAGCTGAACACAGCGTAACCAGGGTGGCAGTTCTCGGAGAAGTCTAAGAGTTCGGGTTCCTCCATCGTTATGGATAGGTTTGGCATGAAATTTGTTAAAACATAGATGGTTCATACTGGAGCAGGGCTGACGAATCCCGTAAAGGCTCCTTGTGATAAGAGTTCCATGATAGCGATGCGCAACCACTTGGAAATTTCTGATGACGCCTCCAACAAGCAAACCATGCTGCGGGCCCCTCGCCCCTCATCATCCCCGTCGCCACGCGAAGACTTTGCGCTGCGGGAGGAGCGGGAGCACATCGTACTGTACCAGCTAATCTTAATCTCCCCTGCTTGCGGGGCGGCCCTGTTTCCCCCAGCCTATGCGGACGAGATTTGTTGGTCATCTGTTATCACTCGCTGATAAGCCACTTGGTAGCTCATCGGCCGAAGCATGTGATTTACAAGGATGACCATGAGAAGGTTGGCGAACTCACGAGGTGTCCACTGCAGGGCCATCGAACCCCCAGCGGGATATCCCTCGGGATCGTGCTACTGGCAGAGCGGCCCGTGGTGATTCTAGCCTCCGAAGTGGAGATTTGGCTTGGTATTGTCCACTCACTCATTCGCGATTTTGGAACCCCTTGATCCAACCAGTAATCCACCTTAACCTTGGATCCCCCAATATCACAAGCGACTGCAGGGCTGATTCCTTTAGTTTACTCTACTTTGAGTGGGCCCGTACTGTACTGCCAGCACTCTAAAAGGCAATCCCCTCTTCAAGGATTAAGGGGACCAGATGCAGGAGTCGAAGGAAATCCTGTACGGACTGCCCAAAGTGGCATGTTTGCCGAGGCTTGTGGTGTCGGCGGGCGGACGCTATGCCCGATCCATCATTATTCGTTGCCCCAGTATTGAAGACCCCCGCCCCCCGCGCTTTCTATGCGCGCGCACTGCCCCTAACGGCTACACTTCTGCGGTGGCCACGGGGTGCGCAAGTGCCAGCCCGCGGTCGGGAAAATCGGAAAAAATGGTGGGAAATGCTTCTGTCCTTTTGATTGGAGCATTCTGTTGGCTCAGGCCAATTGAGTAACTGTGGTTCTAAGCCTTAATTTCCACATCCTCCGGTTTCTCTCGATCGCAGGCTGTAGGCGATGGCGCGCAGGGAGTGTGTTTTCCAGAAAGAAAGGGCTGCAGCGGTATCATACAATAGTTAGAATCGAGGGCCGAGAATGGAAGGCGAAGAAGTCCCACAGCTAATGTTTGGAAATGCATTGCTGATAGCGGCACTGTAGCCCTAATCATATCACCAAATGGGTCTGTGCTATAGAATATCTATTTGTGCGGTACCCTAGGTCTACTACATGGTCTACTATACGGTGGGTGGAGTTGCCGGGATAGATATTTTAGCCTATCGCTAAGGTACCGGTACAATACAATTACTTAGAACTCTATTATCCCTGTGCATCATGATTCTCCACTAGGTTAAGTAATTCTACTGGCACTGCACACTTGTCAGATATTGAGAAAGGGCAAGTAATTGATCTTTATTACAGAAATTATCTTACTCACAAATTGGGAAACAATTCAATCACCCTCCTTTGATCCTCAGGCTCAGCAATATTTACCTAAAGTAGCAGAAGAGGGGTATAAAGGACAACCTCCCCATCCTAGGTAGATCCAAAATTCTCGACAGTTAAACTCAATAACACCTTTGTCAGAGAGTCTAGAAAGATGTCATATCAGACATGGGTTGAACTGCATAGCAATAGTACTCTCCAAATCTCAACCAAGACAGTTATGTACCTATTATCATAGAGAATCAAAGAGGCTTAGAACCAGGTTGATATTTTGTGTATATATATCTGGAGAAAAAATAAGAGTCCCTTAATTACCATACTTAAGAAAACCATAGATGAGTAAGTATACTTTCATAGCCCAAGAAATGGTTTGATGGGTACTTCACAAGAGTTGGAGGATACTATTAGGGATCATGTTTTTTATGAGGACAAGGAAAAAAATACATACTGCAGGTTATACCATAGCTTAACTGAAGGACAATAATATACAGGTTATGAATTGACCTCAAATTTCCCTAATATCAATCCAAGCTATATTGGAGATTTCCTTGCATTCAAGACAAAAGGCAATCTGGATACTCTTAGGGGATGCCCAGCAGAAATCCTAAACTTAAATGTGATTTAGGTCAAAGAAACAGAGGTGGGTTCCCTGAATCAGAGTCTACGTTTGTAAAAATAGCCTGCAATTTCAGATGCTAAAGGATGGTATGCAAAATATAGTTCTTTTAACAAAATTCTCTTGCTTTCATACTACCTTTGCTGTCTGCATTTCCTACCCCTAAAATTTCCAATTCATCTGACCTACTTTTTATTACAGTGGGTTGCTTAATCTTAATTGTGCGGTCACCGATTACTGCATCTGCACGCTAAAATATCCGTCCCCGCATCTCAACTTCCGTTCCGGGGCTAAGCTCTGGTCAATGTGCGACCGCGCCCTTAACGAACAGTGGCATCTACCGCCGGTACATCACGGCTTCCAGCAGTACACTACCATACAGTTCCGGGAATTCGAATTCAGCTCCCGTCCGTCCCCTACTGTGCTGTACTCTTTCCCCCGCGGCTGGGCAATATGATACATCTCTCGGAGCTCCTCGCAAGCGCCCGCTCGTTACCAGTGAGGTTCATGCAATTCATCACCGCTTTGCCCCCGACAGCCGAGCTGACATCCGCCCCAGTGCCGCCCAATATTCTTACCATTTCACAAGGTGTCAGTCAGTCGCGTCTACCGTTCTGGAAGCACAGTACTCGAGTACACGCCCACGAAAATTCTATTATACCGGATCTCGTTTCTTTCTCGGTTTTCCTCCTTCCCGAAACATCCATTAAGCAACCACCAAGCAGTCCCCCGGTTTCAATGGCGTTGGCTTCCTATCCTGCCGAAGAATTGCCTGAGACATCCATTGCTGGAAAGAGCACAAGTTGCGCTTGAAACCTCAAACAGGCAGACCGCCACAATTATAGAAGAGGAAAGAGAGAAAACCCTAGGACAAAGAGGGTTCCAGGCAGGAAATCCCGTGGTCCCTACTGTCGGTTCCCACTATAGTTGGCAAGTTTGGTGAGATAGGGGAAAGAGTGATACCGGTACTGTACACCAACGCCTCCGGCAGCTTGGTTGCGGGAGAGATAGTATGGTACAGAGCCGGGTGTGTGTGGATGGCCTTGGAATGGGCAATCGGAAATTCGCTGTCCTGGGATTGTATATCTACTTCGCTCGAGTTCGAGATTTCTTTCATGGGCCGAAGGTTCGGTCTGTGGATATTCAATCATCATGTTCAACTCGCGACAGCAAACACTGCTAGATATTGAGATTGCTTTGATCGTCATCACCGCGATTGTGGTGACGATTCGGATATACTCGAGAGGATGGCTGAATAGGTCACTCGCAATGGATGATCTTCTCATGGTTATTGCTACAGCAAGCTTCCCCAACTCGTGGACGGTTTCTTGTGGAATTCGCGCGACTGACACACATAGTACTTAGGCATTCGCGATTGCCTTGACGGTAGTCAATACGGTACAATTAAACTATGGATGGGGCATCTCGATATACGAGCAGAATCCGGAGTGGTTCGGGCCATCCAGAAAGGTGCATATAGATCCGCCTCCCACATTCACTCCACCCTCTGACAGCGAACAGCTCTCCTGGTCTTGCCAGCTATTCTTCCTGATATGTGCGACTCTCTCAAAGCTCTCCATCCTGATATTCTACTTGCGCATCTTTGAAACGACCGACAAGAAATTCAGAAATCTTGCGTACCTTGGCATCTTTCTTGTGTCATCCATCGGAATTGCATTCATATTGAACGTGATCTTCCAATGCAGGTGTGTGCCCCCATAGAGAATTCTCCCGCAACAATCAACTAACCGGATCAGGCCAGTGCCAGCGTATTGGGACCTCACACTTGGGGGAAAGTGTGTGGATACCAGAACATCCTACCTGGTGAGCGGGGCATTGAATACCTTTACGGATTTTTATGTCTTTTTCCTCCCAATTAAAATCGTACGGAGGCTCCAACTACCCCGACGACAGAAAATCGGGCTATTAGTCGTATTTGCCGGTGGGCTGGTGTTCGTTCCCTCCGTTCCTTCCTCCGCCACAGGCTCCTGCTAACAATATTCCCCAGCGTGTGCATCGCCGGCGCCGTGAGGATATCATTCCTCGCAGCGGTATTCAATCCCTCCTCCGATTACACCTTGATCGGCACGGATCTGTGGATCATCACGGCGACCGAACTAGACCTCGGCATCATTTGCGCGTCGATCCCCGCCTTGAAGGCCTTCCTCGCCCGATTCTTCCCAAGACTTTTGCACAGGCCTACCAAGCAAGTCCGTCATGGCATTTCCAACCGTAGCTATCCCATGAGCTCGAAGAGCGTGGCATCAACCGGCGAGCGGAGGAGAACGGAGAGCGAGGAGTTCATAATTACAATCGGCATGGAGGGGTGTCAGACTGGAAATGGTGGGGAACGGGCAGGGGGAACGGGCACAGGAGGGGGATATGGCGTGAGGTAGTGGATGAGTTACACAATACCCGATGCCCCAGTATCTACACTAGATATGCCTTTGTACGATATCGCTTTCTATATAGAAGCCCGTTGTAGTGGAATACAATACACCGTCGATAGGAGGATGTTGTCCCATTCTGTCCGGATGATCGTGCGGTGCAACCCTGTGGTGCCGTACTACGAAATTCGGGGGGAACAGGACCGGTATATGCCCAAAGTTCCAGCCGCAGGACTCACGCGATAACCCCTAACAAGCTACTGTAGCGGTAGCGATGGCATAGCTGTGTCATTACCCGTAGCGTTCCTAACACCATAACAAAGCTCAAGATCCAGGCGTCCGTGCAGTATCCCGGGGAACAAGCACGAAACATCCCGTCACCAACTCCCCCCGCCCCGCGCCTTCAATCATAAACCCCTCTCCCACAAGGAAGGAACCCCTCGAGGAATGGAAAAAGGGAAACGGCCCGTCACTCCAGTGAATGTGCCGATATCCCAGCAAACCCGCCCCACCTCACCCCGCCACTCCTCCGCTGTACCGAACAAAAAAAAAGCACCATCGAAACCCGTACATCCTTCCGGCTCACAACTCAAGGCAGCGCGCTTCACATCCACCCAGTCAGTCAAAATGCCCATGAAAGCGGCGAATAAGAAATCAATGTCAAATCCAATCCAATCCGGTCATACAAAAAAGACACAAATATTTTCTCGTCATGCTGAGACTATGGGATAGTCGATCAGGGGATTGACAGATCTGCTATAATCATTCCGGGATTGTGGCGGAGGCAGGATTATGATGCGAGCGGGGTGCGCTTACCGTTTCGTGTTGCCCGAAGGAAGGTGAATTAAAGATGGGCTGCTGTTGTTCATTGATGGGTGAGGATGGCTAACATGGCTGGCGGTAGCGGTCGCGGGAGTAAAAGTTTTGGTTGGGTGGATGGATGGGAGTGCGAGATGCGTGGGATGAGGTTAGGGTTTGTATGGCTTGGCAGGGTTGGCCCAGGTGTCACTCCTCATATAACATACCGTAGGTTGCGGTAGGTTACGTCAGGATTCAAGAATCGAACAAGTTATGGAGCTCGGCTGCTTACATTACTCCCTTACGCTATCATAAGATTATGCAAGCAGCAGCATGGTAGACTATGCGGTAGTCTATGCACAAGGCTCCGCCCCCTCTGTTTTGTCGCGCCCCTATTGCCGAAAGTCTGCAGTTCTAAAACACCACCCATTCATCCAGCACTAGCACAGTATGATACCTACAAGAATAGATCCACCAAACTCACCGCCCCGCCAAATATGCTTTTTCCATCACCGCTTCTGCTCGCCCCGCATGCATCAGAACCAGCAAAGTGCACTCTTTCAGCTTCAAAATGCATATCATACGGCACCGGCAGAATTTTGTTCGTCAAATGAGAAGCGACTCGCAAGTGTTTGATCTCCCTAATCGCACAATCAACCATGGGCCAACAAAGGCTCAGCCTGCTTATCACGATCTTCCTATTCCGTTTCTGTTCAGCATTGCACTAGGATTTACAGGGACCTTTTGTCTCGAAACGGAGATCAGAACCCCGCACGAAGATACCCAATTTGACGAGAAAATACGCTAGGCGCCCTCAAATACCGAAGAACTCGTACTTGTACTGGTACCGCGGTCTTCAAATGACGTTTTTCCTCCGCCAACACGGCACCGACCGGCCGGCCTTCGCTTCAGACGATTCGTGCGTCAGGTGCTCGTGGCGTTCGGCCAGCGAGAGCGCACGACGAGGCGCCCACCTGCCCGGCCGAAAACTATCGAAAGGGTCATGCTTGGAACCATGGGGGGGATCTCGGTAGCGTGGGGTGTATCCCGTTGGGAGGAGGTTGATACTAACTTAAGGAGCACCGCTTCTGGAATGCCGATACCAGTAGGGCTATGGCGAAATCGGTATTTATACGACTACCGCACATGTTCTTTGAATTGCTTTTGCGTCGCGGTTGCTGCACTTGTACTGTCGAGGGGCGCGGATCTGGGGATTCCCGATGTCTGCTTGCTCCTTCAGTAAGCCATCTAGCCTTGTGCTACGGTGCCGTGTTAACATGCGGATTACTGTTTTACTTCTGTTTACGGGCCGGACACTCGAGGGTGCGTGGGACGGATACCGGTACTACTGAAGATTACGCATATTGAATGGTTGGCTAAGCTTCTGACCAGCGAATGATGGCTGCAGGGTTTGATATGGGCCTTGGTGGTCTGATGGCCCGGGGACAAGAACACCATATCCCGGCCCGCCCCCCGAGGAGTTAGGCGTTAATTGACCGATCGCTCTTTTCACGACAATGCTTAAAGTGGGGTATTGGAGGTGGCAAATCCGGGATTCTCCTGCCAGTGCTGTCTCCCACATTCGAGTAAGTTGCTCCTGCTAGGTGATTCGGGCAGCATGACTGGATGTCTGGGATATTGAAAATTGGGACTAGCCTTAGGGGAAACATTATGATGCCAGCATTGAGGAAGATTCCATTTTCTTCTTCTTTTTCTTTTCCTGGCGCGGGACGGTCAATATTTGAAATGAGACGATTGGGAGATTGTTCGCTCAGCAAAATTGTTTTGATGTGTAGTTTTATTTTCTCCTTGCTCGCGCAAGAGAAGGTGCTAACGCGCAAAAACAAAGTAGATAAACAAGGATGAATATGAGAGGTATAAAAGAGCTATCGGGGTGTCCCAGTCTCTGGGGTGGGAGTGAGACCCAGCCCATCCTATTATACTTACACTGTCAAGAGCCGGTTGGGCCAGGTGGCGAGTGACTAGTAATGACGGTTGGTGCGCTTTGCTTCTACCATGATAACTTGGTGACTAAAGGGGCAGGTGCATAACAGTGTTTGGAGTCTCTAATAAGAAATGTGAAACCCGATATATAGAATGACTTCACTTTTTAATCACTATTATCTTAAGGTTAGTTTGAGATTGTAGTGACATAGATAAGCCCTGGGATATTGTCGCTCGTTTCAAGCATGTCTCCGAAACTATGGGCAAGAGATTTCCTACCGGTATCATATATTTTTTATCCTCATGCATGGGGTTCTATGGGATGAAACTATGGGGTATCTCAGTTTTTGTGTGTCCAGGAACCACCATAGTATTCCCCTGGCATTTGACTCATTTCATTGCCCGTGTGATATCCCAGCTGCATAGATCAATTTATCGTAAAATTTCTCCTTTACACGCTCTCCCTTATGTTCCTAATTTATGTTTCAGTCATTGTTGCGACAAGGTAGCGCAGCATTCGGTTTGGTCAGTTGTTATCAGACTATCGTAGGTTATTCCGTAGATTCCTTGCCAGAAGCCCTACCATGCGCCAATTGGGATCGCTATTATAAGTGAATTAAGATTGCATATTAACTCACTATCCCAACGCTCTTCCCAGTTATATCGTACCTGCGGCCATGGGATACTCGTAGCAGATAGTCGAGTGACCACACGTGAGCATCCTCTCATTGGCGCAGGACAAGGGCCGCTGACTTGGCATGCATACAACTATGCTCGACCGCACGCTTGCCAACAATTTGCCGCACCTCGACTAAGCTTCCCTAGCCTCACAAGCCTCACCATGCTGGACGAAACACTCGGGGACTTTTGCGCTGATACCGAAGACGGTAAAGTGACAATCCTTTCCCGTTTCTATCCTACTAATAGTGATGAATCAGATAACGGCGGAAGCCCAAGCGGCAAATCCAGTGGGGTGCCCACTGCAGAGCCGCAATGTGAGCATACATCGATTTGACTTTTGGACGGGTGCCCGCTGATCGGCAGATTAGATGAGAGCAAGTTCGTGGCGGAAGTCACGGTGGCGCCGGAAGGGGACTTGGTGCTCGAGGTCCCTTCCAAGAATGGACTTGCAAGACTCAAAGTCTCCTCGCAGGTGATGTGTCTGGTGTCACCGGTATTTCGCGCTATGTTAGGTCCTTCGTCCATGTTCAAGGAAGCTTGCGAGCTGCGCGCTTCAACATCAGGCTATACACTGCAGCTCGAAGGTGATGATCCGGAAGCATTCGTGGCGATATTGCACGTTCTGCATTGCCAGACGGACAAAGTCCCCTCCGCCGTTTCGTTCGAGGATCTATTCCACATGGCGATCGTTTGCGACAAGTACGATTGCGCGCTGGCGGTGGCCGCCTGGGTTGACATTTGGGCTGAGGGGTGGAGGGATCTCGCTTTCGACGCAGCTTATTCTGAGTGGATGTTTATTTCATGGGCCTTTTTATTACCCTCGATATTCGAACCCTTGAGCCGGAGGATAGTTATGGAAGGGCGATATGATGATGAGTTGGGTCAGCTCCTCTGGGGTGAGAGGAGCTTGGATGAGATTATGGTCCCCGATCCAGTCGTCTGTAGGACCCCTCTCCGCTCTGAGATGCCGGGCTGTGAACTGAATGAATGATAGCCGCGATACTCCAAGTACGCTCTGACGCTATAAAGGCTATCCTTGATGACACTGAATCCTACCTAGATCTCTACTCAAACCCAGAAAGAACAATGTGCTTGTATCAAATTCCCGAATGCGACGTCATGATTCTCGGCAGCTTCGTCCGGGAATTCCGAAAACGCGGGATACACAAGCGCGAAAAGTTTTTACTCATGAGTTTGAACGAGGTAGTAGCAAGTATTAAGGAGATAAGTATCTACTTTTATTCCGAGACTTTCTTTCATGGGGATACCTGTAGCTTTTTGCCGGCGCTTTTTGCAAAGGTTGATAAGATTTGCGAGGGTATTGAAGGCCTGAAGCTCGAGAGGTTTAGCAAAGGCGTTGTGTGGCGCAGGTATAAAAGCGTATTTGAGGGAAAATTGGAGTCTTTGGAATATAAACCTGTGCAGCCTGGAGCGGTGCGGGGAATGTCTACCGAAAATAGGGAGCATATATAGATCTCGGTTTCACAGATCGTCATCCGGCCTTTGTGGAGGAGTTTTTTTATTTTTATTTTAGTTTTTTTATGAAACGTTTAGCGGGCGTTTGGCGCACCATGATCCAAACTTGAAAATAGGATTTGAGTGACCCTAAACCGTATGTGAAAACCCTCGAATTGCACCGCCCTTAAACCGGGACCTGGAATCGTGGCGGTCCAAACCGTCCATGGCTCGGAACTACTTTTTGATTCCTTATCTTGATTAGGGTTAAACTTTTGAAGATTTATCTTTGCGTTTTAGTCCTACTCCGGTTTGGTATGATATACCGGTATGGTATCATATCATGCCACACTTGCACTGAACAGAACGAGTTTGCCTGTTTCGGAATTAACGCTCCCCTCGCTGCCCCCGAGTGCCCGTACTTAATTTAATTCCCCAAATCATATCGCGATTTCAAATCATGATTTGAACCCGCTGCCCACATCCCCTTGATCAGCAGAGGCTCGAATTGCCCATATAGCTGGTAGCCACAAATTATATCCTCAGATTGACTCATACTACGCCAATTTGGAAAAAGGGAATCTTCGTACCGCGCACGCAGCGGGGAAGCGGCACAAGAATAAGCAGTGTAGTAATACCGAAGCAAATATTTTGAAAGCGTCCTGCCCACAAATCAGAGCCCACCACTTTAAACCTCCGGACACTGTACAATGCCATTATCCCAAGAGCAGGGTATTATCGGCGCTTCTCAGCGCTAATTCGAATCCTTTTTTTCTTGAGCACCTCCGGTCCCTGCGCCCCACTGTTGGTGAGCCCTACAAATAATAGGAAAAATGGCGAGACTACTTTTAAGCTGTCTACTAATTGTCGTCAACCTCACCACATCATCAACCCCTAGCACGTAATTTTTGGTCCAATATCTCTCGTTTGAACCTCTCATAAACTCGATTTTCTATTGTGCGAAACATCCCCATCGACGGATGCACTAGCCACGGGAAAAAAAGAGTTCTTCCGAGACGATACGCTACCTCCACATTGAGCGCAAAAGCCTCTTCTCCCCTTCTCGGAAGAGGCATACCCCCTAAAAGTGCCCTCAGAGATCTAAGCTACCTGATTAGCACTAACATTCACGAAGGTTCCAGTGAAGTCTCTGAGAGTTTTATGGTACAGTACTTGGGGGTGCGTGAAAGTGGTTAATATTTTGTGGCACTGCGTGGCGCTATGTGGCGAAAAAGTCTTGAGGTAGGGTGACACGAGGGGATCGTTATAATACATCACCGTAACTTGAATCATATCTACAAGAAAGAAACCGCAGAAGATGAATAGCTTGGTATCTCAATCCTGCGAGATTTTTCCAGGGCCGCGGAAAGAAATTGCTCAAGAGGTGTTACTTTTTCCAGTATCTCGCATGTCGGGTTGCTGGATGACCGTTAAGTTATGTTTACAGTACGGTACACGAGCAAGTTCTTGTACTTCAGCATGCACCACAATCTGGCGCCACCTGTGCCACAAAATATTAATCACTTTCACGCGTCCCCGAGGACTATCCCGTTTCCCTTGTTAGTGGGGTTCTAGTTTGTGAGGGGATACCGGTAGTATTACTACCGGCACTGTACTAACGGTAGCCGACACGGGGTGGGTAACTTGTTCCTGAAGGGAATTTGTCTTATATCTAGCACCGCGGCACTCGCAGCCGGCTTTAACCAATCCTATGCAGTCTTGTCAGTATAGGATTCTTAATGCCGGTATTTAACAGGAACTCACCGGGTCTTAAGGGCACCCTGCCGATGTTAGAGTGCACTTCCCCCGGAGTCCCCCCCCGAAGCTATACGTCGTGCTGTTTCAAGAACCCCCCTGCCTGATTTCCGAATTGGTGGGTGGCGACTTGAGAATGATTACAATTCGTGCCCGGAAGAGCGGTGGCATACCGGTACGGTATCGGCACGGCGTTGGTCTCAGCGGGAGCCCTGGCCCTGTCAATGTCTCTCGACTGTGCGTCATCAGAGATCTTTGCGAGGAATTCCGGAGCCCAATCGATATAACATTTCCATGGATCATGAAGAGCATGCAAGCTCGATGGGTCTAACCAACGGTGTACCGGCATGCCATCGTTACACGAACTCGTATTTCTCTCACTCTCGGTTCCGAGATTGGGAAACCCAGGTCACCCTTGCTCACTCACGGTATCGTAATCTCCCCGACCCGTAGGAGTTGTTGATTGGATCGTATTTGAGAAACCCTGAGGACCTATGCACTAACTCTTCGCACCTCCAGGGATTGCATAGAGTGATATTTTATGATGGGGAGTCCGAAAGCGGGGATTCTCGGACTCCACCCTGGTGGCGTTTGGGACCCTTTTTTTCTGATCATGCCGAGCAAACAGCCATGTCCCTGAGAAGCTGCAAGGAAGTCATAAGTTAACCTAGCGCACAGCTGTAACTCACGACCTAGCGGACAACTGCCGGTATCAATTCGCCCGTGGTTCGGTGTTATGGACATTCCACAAATAGTACTGGTACCGGCGTACTGGAAGGGGCCTCATGCTAGGACCTCGAGCGGCGGCGTTGGCTCACTGCACAGCAGTGCTTTGCTCATTCAGATGTTTTATAAGCAAATTCTCCTCCCTTCCCTGCTTGCCCTCCACCCACTTTTCCAGTGCGGTAGGGGTCCACTCCCAGCTGGCAAGAAAGAGAGCGTACGGTACCGGTAGTGCTGGGCTGTCGGCAAAGTGCACCGTTCTTATCAGAAGATCTAGAGATGCTTTCTGCAAGGACAGTGCCGGCATCTATATACTCGAGTATGTGCCGGTACTGTGCTTCGTGGATTTTTTTTTTTCGCCTCTATTTTTATCTTCCCCAATTGTTTTTCGGGGTGTTTGGTGGGTGGGCATCTATCGGTAGATGGAATGGATTGGGTGTAACACAAACTTCCGGACTTTCACAAGCAGCGTCCCTCACACTCTAGCACCCCTGCCGAGTCTTGTGTTGCCAAGGTTAACCCTGGAGCTGAGCAGAAAGACTAAAGCCGAAAGCTACTGGCCAACCAACGTTATGATATGATGCCACCATAAATCCGAAAACAAGGGGAAAGCCCTGTGTGCCTATTATTTTAATAGAGGGGAATTTTCGCGGCATGAGAGGTAGAGCGTGATAGAAAGGTAGTTTGGATCTCTGAGGGCTGCACGTACTGTACTCGTACAGTACGGGACCCGTTGTTGCGTTATGCTGACCGAATAACTTATCATACAAATGCGGTATCAGACTCGTAGTCTACTGTAGAGTACAATTCAGCGCAGTGAGTCCTGGCAAGCCACAATACCATTGTTCCGGATCATCTGATAAAGTCACTCCCACACGATAGCCGACAGCCCAACATCAAGCTTTTTTGTTTTGGATACCGGTACTGGAACCCGACCCCTGCGGCCTGCCGAAAACGCAGCGATCCTGGAAAGGCGGCCTGAAGGCAAGCAGCGGAGAGAGCAGAATTTACATGCGAAACCTCTGTACAAGCAAAAACACGGCGGCGAGCAAACTATTACAGCAAGCCAACACCTACGGGAGCAAACCCCCGACCGCTGTCAGAGACTTACACACAACCACTATCAATCACTTTCAGGTCCAGACTCCGAATAGAGCTGTTGGATGACACAGCAAAGCTTCCCCGTTTCCGATGCAGCTGCTTCGGTCCAACAGCTTTCATTGACCCTAAACTCCCCTACCGTGAATCCCAGGGGATAAGTTAACGATCGCAGATTCAGCGGAGCCTCCAAGGCGCGCAACAAGTGATGGGGTAGCAAGGCCAGCTGTTTGAACTGATGCATCAAAAGTTCCCCCGCTATTAAGTCTACATCTTGGTTCCGGGTGCAGTGGGCAATACCGAAAGAGCCCTTCGAATACGACAATAGGGAATCTCACCATGCCAGTTCGTCATTATTCAAACCGGAAGGATGGGCTGTTGGGTGTGCAACTGCTTCCGTAGTCGCTCCTGCCCGATCGCAAGCCCTTCTGTGGACGGTTGCGACGCAAAGGAAGGATTTTGAGCCCACCGGATTCAGAGGTCACGAAGGGGAGAGGTTTCCGTCCCAGAATGACAGCCTTTTTTTATTCAGGGCACTATATTTCACTGCTTCTCGATACCGTCCATTGATGATTTATGAGCCTCGTGATCTCTTCCAACCCCCCCCCCCCCCTTTATAGCGAGCGACCCAACCACTGGACCCAAGACAGCAGAGAGTAGAGAGAGGCGTGCGAATACAAGCCACCCCACCAGAAAGCCTGAGCCGAGAGAGAGAGGGCGGGGGGGGGGGGGCGGGCACTGCAACACTCGCACTGGCTCCGGAGGTGGTTTGCAAGGCGGTTTGGTAGTTCAGAGGTTCGAGTACCGTATAGCAAGCACCGTGTAGAGTCTATTGAGCAAGTGTGAAATCACTAGCGTTGAAAATTTCCTAAGCTCACAGCACCCGCCCCCTTGGAACCCCAACCATCCTGCTTTCTCTTCGCACCACTAGTCTCTCGCCTACGAATCCCGTCTGACCAATGGCGAAACCACCGTACCCGGGTACCTGTACTCGTACACCGCGAACCAAGAGGTCACAACACGTACCACAATGAACCCCTGCGAGCCGTAGTCCACCCGGATACGAGCCGGCACCGGTGAGACTCCCTTTTTTGCGAGACTCCCCAACTCTTCCGTCGACCGTCCGTACTCGAGTACACATAACTTAGCGTTTTATGTAGCTCGAGCAATCGGCCCCAGTCTTCCCAAGAACTCTGTGGGAACAGGTGCTAATATCGGAGCACTCATGGTAAGCACTTACGCCGGTAATAAATCACTTAGTCTGATTGCAGCGATAGGTTCCAGGTCCAATGCCCCCCTAGACAGTTGGGTTTGCCCATTTATGGCAATGTTAGAGATCAGAAACGAACGGTTCATCAAGTACTAGTGCATATGCATGCTTTGTGATTTGACTCGATGTCCTATTGTCGGCAGAGGCTTTCCTTTCTCTCGTTCGGCTCGGGTTTGGGACCACTATGGCTGGCGTTTCTTTCTTTCCGTTTCCGGGACTGCGGCCAGATGTTGTCGCCCCTTGAAAAATCGGCCGCACTGGATGATAAATAGCCTCCTCCTGTGTGCAGATATACTGGGGTTCTTGGTGGGGCCCGCATTACCGGTTTCCTTGTACTGGCAGTGCATTGAGTTGAACTTGCTCTCATGTGCACCGAGAACCCACACCATGTATGAGGGGAACTCCCTGGCTGGAGTAATGCGATCGGCATCTTGAGAGAGATGTGCGAATAGAGTGAGAATGTAGCGCGGGGTTAGCGGGGCCATGGAGTTGTTTGGGCGCAGCAAGTTGTTCCCGGCTAAGACTAAGCATCCAGCAGCTCGTGACCTTCGCGGAGAAAAAGGTAAACTTCCGTCTGTAGCTACCGAAGCGCGGAACGCCAGAGGTAGTCCTGAGGGGGTGCGCGGTATTTGTGAGAACATTCCGGGCCTGGGAGTTAGTTCAGAATGCTGCATGCTAGACTCGGCGGGGTGAGGTAAATGTAAGACGAGCCAGCTCCCGTCTCGCACTTGGGAGAAGTGATGAAACCCTTCAACATTCTATTTAGCAATCAGGGGCCGATATAAATACTAGAGCTCCACAAGCCGGGTAGAGATTGGCCTTCCGAATTCGATCTCTGAAAGGGATACGTGTTGAGAGAACGCTCGGAAACACAAATACTGAGCCCAGATGCTATCTCGAACAGTAGAAAAAAGGTATATAACTGCATAACCGAATTTCTTCAAACCAGAGCGTATCCTGTGAGGGGTACCCGGACACCGGGGGGCCGAGCACTGATCTCCCGGCATATGCGACCACGAACCCAATTCAGGTACTCAGTCGTTTTATACTCAAGGCAGGACACTCTGCTGCGCAGCTACGGAGCGAGAGGGAAATCACCCCCACAACTAGTGCGGCAGGAAGTATGGGAGAACTCGCCGTTCCAGAGCTGATTTCTGTGAAAGATGGAAGGTCCATCCTGATAGAGGCAAGAGATATTTCCAGAGACGGGTGGTGAAGCAGAATCTACTGGTGATGAGAGACATGCGAGACAGAAATGATGGGTGCAAAGTGAATGGCTTCGCGACGAGGGGGAGGCAAGACAAGTGCTTGAATACGGTGGCAAATGGTTTCGGAAGACAAACACTACCGTTGTGGTGCTTGGTTCAATGAATGACGAGAAAGATAAACGATTAAAGGAGGATTCCATGATAGCGGGTTGCATGAACTTTGTGTTGACTGGCGGAGGTATTAAATTTATATCAAGGTGAAATTACTGAAGGTGGAGTTCTTTATGTTTGTGGTATGATATCATAGCTAGTTGAGCGAAGACCAATCACACAGCTGCCTCTCCCTTCAGATCTATGGGTTTAGGGTTAAATTTACTGTAGCCGTGGGTAAGGCCAAAAATAAAATAAAAAATCACATGACCTTGGGATCTAGTTAGCAATACTGGAATACTAGTATGATATCATACGAGAGTTATCTTTCAAGTTTGATAACTCGTGAATGTAGACTTTCAAGATTGAAAAGTTTTTTAGTAAAAAGTAATAAATGTATCCTTCCACCTAATTCTATTGTTTCGCTCTATTCCCATACTATGACTAGATCTACTATATGTGTCAAACAGGGATATAGGTAGCAATTGTATATCTGCCGATACCTTCCTTGTATCTACTACATTCAACTCTCAGTAGTAACAACCCGAACCTCCGTATGGTCTTGTGAGTATTGGCGTTACGAATTTTGTGTTCTTCACCTACCAGTATTGCAGTTATACATATGGTTACGAAAGCAATTTGCTATCTGACTGCTCTGGGTAGTTAACGTGCTGCATACACTAGTAAGTTTTTCCGGAATTGATCTACAGGTTAGACAGGGTTATGCTCAGATTATACAAGTACGAGATCGTAAACTGACTCACCATTACAGTAACCAAGAATATAACATGAATTATTGTTCTTACACCTATTCACAAATGATACCAGCAGCAATTTTCAGCAGAGTAAACAGGTTCTGAGGAGGCTATGATGAATTGGCCGAAATCCACTCCCTAAGCGCGAATCTCTAAAGCTCCTGTTCCTCTAGGTAGGCAGGACCTTCGACACATTTCTTTCGCCAATTGACGATGGTATTCCTTGTTTATTATTCAGGGAGGCAGACAGCGGTAGGCGAGCTGACCCGATTGTTCTGCGAAAAAAAAAACCCCTGACATGAATAGCGGACTGTTTGCGCTCGGGGGAGGGTATTTTTTGGGACTCTTAGAGGATCTTGTGCGGGGGTGCATTAGTTACGGAATCACGCAAACAGCCTCGAAAATGCACCAATTTCTTCAAGCTTTACTTGAGCTTGTGGAAATTAAATATGTTTTCGGAAATATCATCCCAAAATTAGTCCTTGTTCCCTAAACAGGGTAATTGCCCCTGGATGACGGGCTATCCCAATGTTTCACCCCAGTCATCTCCAAGTGACTCGTTGAAGATAACTTAAGAAGGGATTTCTGGTGTAGCGGAAGCTGGAGGGGATGAGACCGCCGACTTACAGATCCACCATTCTAGCCTGTTGGCCCCCGACCGAAGCCACATATAAGACCTTCTGTCTATTATTGCGCTAATAATGCTTGTTGTTCCGAAGCCAATAGCGCGCTCAAATCCGAAGGGGAGTCATCAGTGTCCCATGAGCGAGAGCTCTCTTATGCTTGCAGACCCCAGTTTAGGGGTAGAGCGGCACGGTTGATCCTTTGATAGCGATCTTTAGAAACTCTACTCGACTTCGTGGGATAAAGCCTAAGTTACGAGATACGCCAACTTCTATCAACCTTCTACACTATCTATGGGCTTCTCGGGGACATTACTGGCTTTGCCAAACCATACCTCTTATCCTCTATGTTAAGGACTCGCAAACCCCTTTCAGGCTTTGTCCGGAGTGCCAACTTGGTGATAGATCGTGACGACTTTGCGTGAAAAATGTTTTCTAGGTTTCCGCAGGTTTTGCGGGGGCGGTACTACTTAGTGAAACGATATCTTAGGCTGATTGGATAAGATATTATATGGCTTTAGCTGGGGCCGGCCTTGTCTGGGGGACAGAGGGGACATTTAATTGGCGGAGCAAAGCCCGGCTCCAGGGGTCTCTTTACAGCCTCAAGCTACGGCTTTTAGGCACGGTGGAGGATCACTGTCTAATCACTCGAGTGATATCAAGTGATTCCATGGATCATGGCCTCCGTATTCATTCTTATGGAATCTCCCGGGGAGTTATCCCAGTGAACCCTGGCAGCTCAAAAGAATACACATAAATTTGGCAAACCCCTGAACCGAACTCAGTTGAATTCTTGAAACCGAGCTGGTATCCACACTGTATCTGAAGGTGAAGCAGGGCTACCTGGCTAGACTACTTGAATAAATCACGCACAAGATATCATTTCATATCCCGTCTCGAAGCGAGTTTCCCCCCATGAACTCCTGACTGCGAACATATATATAACACTATTGTCCGTGGACAGCGAAGCATACCAAAACCTCGATATCTCGCATCCTTCAAAAGCATTTCTTTCTATATACAGAAGGCCCATGACCTCTATCGGAGCTCAGAGCCCCGAAGCTGGAAGTCCCCCCCCAGGCCCTGGTTTGCTCTCAAATAACCGCCAGGATATCATTAATCAGTGGTTCACATATTACAATTTCAGCTTCAACAATCCCGAAGATCTAGCAGCCAGACTGACCAGGCTTAAGCGAAGACACAAACGCCGGAGGCCCACCCGGGGCTTGTCGGGAAATTGTGATAGACTCCTGGGAATCCTCAGAGCGATATCTTCATTGCCAAATCATAGACACCGCAGAGATGCCGCAAACATCGTCGATCAGGTGAACGCAAGAATGGTGAGGGGGACTGTTAGAAGACTGGTACCAGACCCGGTAAGGTTCAGGCACGGACCGGATCCTAGAGATGACAGTTCGTCAGTTTCCGACGGCTCTCTCTCGAGCCCAGATAGAAGAACCTTTCCCCCCTCGCGCGGACCTGTGGCACCCATACCAGATGTCTCCACCCGCAGAGCCTTCCCGAAATATATCGGCAATAAACCTCCACTTCCGGTCGCGAACGAAGAAATGGTCGATAATACGATTCGATGGTTCCCGGAGACCGAGGATTTCATGATAGCGATGCATAATTTGCGAACCATGAATGCCAATGATCCAGGTCTCCATGCACCACTTCTTGTAGATCATCCTTTGGAGGTGGTGATGGAATTCCCGGAGACCATCGCACTCCTTACTGCACCGTTGCCTCAAGTGGATTCGACTTTGCGAGAAGCCACAAGAACTCCGCTGACCATATATGACACTAGGTCGGGGGTTAGCCCGCGTGATCATGGAGCCTTAACGGCGGACCATTATATCTACATCCTGATAGATTACTTCCGCACCAAGTTACTCGAGCCCTCTGTCGCTGCGAAGTATGCGATCGTTAATCGAGCCCACCCAAGTAGATACCGCCCAGGTAGCGTAGATAATATAGCTGATGAGCCCCCCGCTACAGCTAACGAAGGTCTGTGCCAAAGTTGGTCTCTTTTTTTTTTTTTTTTTGTAGGGAGGGAGGTTCATTTCCTCTTTCCTCCGTTTAAACTGACGATTTGAATAGTTGAGGGCGTGATGAGATGGATTTTGCACGGTTTTCCCTTGATAGAGATACTCCGCGAAGGCAAAACTAAAGGTGGTAGAGAGAGAGTGGACGGATGCTACGGGTACGTCTCCCGAAAGGGACCACATAGTCATAAAATGTTTATCAACGCGATGTTTTTCGACGACATTGAGCAGGCATACAGGGAATCAAAAGATTACGATCCTATCATATTCCTCCTGTTCGCTACCATAGCCCATGAGTTTGGTCATTACCTGAACGCTTGTGTGAGTAGCCCCTCCCGTATATTCTCCCCGGGTCTCCCTTAATAACAGAAAATATCCAGTGGCATGTTGGAGCATCAAGGGACGCCTATTTTCGAACTCCACGGGGACTACGATATCTCGTCCAAACAACTGAAGCAGAGGATAGGGATCACCCCGACTACGACCCGAGTTTGCTGCTTGTTGGGGAAATGGGGCAAATGATTGAATGGCTTATCAGTGGCTTCATCAGTGATATAGATCATGAGAGTACGACAATGGTCGGCCAGCCTGTGTACGTCACTGGATGGGGCAGTTGGCCGGATAACAACCTGCGACTGAGGGATTATGTTTGCAGGAGATTGCTGCAGACACGCCCGCACCTACGAATGCCCGCCCCCGAGCTAAGGGTATTCGCGGAGAATGTAAGAAGGGAAGTAGAATCCGAACCTACAGGCCCAATAGGACTCGGGGTTGGCGATGAGGAAGCAGTCGGTGGGCCATCATCGCCACGAATGCCCGCCCCCCCGCCGGGGGCATCCGCCGAGAACCTTATATGGGAAGAGGAACCTTGGGAATTTGACCCAGCACATCTTAGCGAGGGCTATGAGGAAGTAATTACGCTAGGTGACCCGCCTG